GGTTTAGGGTTTAGGGCTAAACCTCTAAACCCCAAACCTAAACCCAAACCCCTTATTAAGCCCTAAACACTTAACCCTTAAACCCTAAACACCTATAAATAGAGACCCTAATCCCAGAGATAAGCACTAAACACCAAACCCTAAAAGCCAAATCCCATAAGCCCTAAAACCCTAAACCCCAAACCTGACCGCATGACATACATAAGGTAGGATATAGAACATATAACATAGAATATATCTATATATATATATAGATATAGGTAGATAGATAGATAGATAGATAGATAGATAGGTAGATAGATAGGTAGATAGATAGGTAGATAGATAGATAGATAGATAGTATTCAAAGCGTTGGAGCCCCCAGTGAAAACCCCAAGCGTCACGCATCACAGGAGCTGGCGTCCCTTCCTCCAGAGGTCCGGCGTTGCCATCAGCGTGGCGCGACGGTGATCTACCTCCCCCTGAGGCCCTCAGATCACGATTTCAAAGGGCTTAGGGCTTAGGGTTTAGGGTTTGGAATTGTTCCGGGGTTTAGGGTTTAGGGTTTAGAGATCGTCAGATCACGATTTTATAGGGCTTAGGGCTTAGACTTTAGGGGTTTAGGGTTTAGAGATTTAGGGTTTATAGGGTTTAGGGCTTAGTTAGGGCTTAGGGTCTATAGGGTTTAAGGGTCCATGTACCCTACATACTCTGGCCTTAAAGTAGTCTCTATATAGGTACTGTGGGGCCAAAGTATACACTATTTGGGTACATGGACCCTTAGGGTAGGCTTAATTGGGGCTTAGGGTTTAGAGTTTTGGGGTTTAGGGTTTAGAGATTTAGGATTCATGGGGTTTAGGGTTTAGAGTTTAGGGGTTTAGGGTTTAGAGATTTAGGGTTTATAGATGTTTACAGGGTTTTGGTATACAAGTTAGGGCTTAGGGCTTTGAGTTTCGGGGTTTAGGGTTTAGAGAGTTAGGGTTTATAGGGTTTAGAATAGATCTAAGAATTACCATGATGGTGTGTAAACGTCTTCCTCTTCAGGCGCAGAGGACATTTCGGGGCCTGGGTTGGTGCTTTTCAAGTTTAGCTGTTTCAGGATGTGCCCGGGGTTTAGGGCTTTAGGGCCTTGGGGTTTTGGGGTTTAGGGCTTTAGGGCCTTCGGGTTTAGGGGTTTAGGGGTTTAGGGTGTAGGGTTTTAGGGCTTTAGGGTTTAGGTTTTAGGGTTTAGGTCCCTGGCCCACCAAAGCCTATTTTTTGGTAGGGGCATGATATCAACGTTTCTGGAGATCTTATCGGGAGCGTACACATACGCGGGACCACACATCACGAGGTTTTGGTAGGTTCGCGGTTTACGGGCAGGGGCTCAGGGTTCAGGGAATTAGGTTAGACTTGCGGCCCAAATAAGTTACCTTCAAAGGTAAGGACTGGTGTAAGGAAACTAGAGTTTAGTAAGAAAGCCCACACAAAGGATGGTTTTATAAAAGGGTACAGGTCGGTACTGGGGTTCTAGGGCAAGCACTCGCCAGTTGACCCGACAGCCCCTAAAACTGGACATTGCTTCGACCGCAAACCTTTAAAGCCTAATTCCTGAACCCTGAACCCCAACCTGATAATGTAGGGGCCTAAATAATTACCTATATTTTTTTGTGAGTTCCTTATTATATTTATAGTATAATGGGCCCCAAAACCTTATTCTACTTATTAAGGCCCCTACATTATCTCTAGACAGGAGAAGGCTTTTGGCAGGGATTAGATTAGAGTTTTAGGCCAGAGATAGCAGGTCAGCACTCTCTGTTTCCGTGCATGATACATCTTGAACCCTACATAAATCCGAAATTGCAAGGCCCGGCACGGCTTCGAGCGTTGAGCTGGCCTTGCAGCACCTGGAGGAGAGCACCACGAGACTTCCATGGCCCCCCGAGAATGCGGGGGTTTAGGGTTTACCTTAGGAACCCCAAAACCTACTTTTTTGTAGGGTCCCTATAAATCCCATATCAGGGTTTATAATAAGAACCTACAACAAGCGGGTTTCGGGTTCTTAAGGTAGGGTTCAGGGCTTCGGGTTTAGGCCTTTTGGGGCTTCGGGTTCAGGGTTTAGGGTTTAGGGTTTAGGGTGCAGGGTTTAGGGTTTAGGGTTTAGGGTTTAGGGCTAAGGGTTCAGGGTTTAGGGGGTTTTGGGTTTAAGTTAGGGTTCAGTATTTAGGGCTTAGGGTTCAGGGTTTAGGGTTGAGGGTTTCGATAAGGGGCCTGAAACTAAAGGGTCCCAACTAATAATGACTAATGTAGGAGCCTATAAATGGTTACCTATACTATTTTGGGGGGGTTCCCTATCAGAATTGTGGTGTAACATACCAAAACCCTATTCTAGTTACTAAGGCCGCTACATTAGCTACAACGTGCAGGGTAAGGGTTAAACTAAGCCAGGGTCTCAAATAATTATGACTACTATTCTGGCGGCTTCTTATTATGATTATAGTATACTGGGCCCCAAAACCCTATTCTAGTTATTAAGGCCCCTACATTACCATTATGAATTGCGGTATACTTGGACCCTTCGAACATCCCGGTACCCTGGTCTTGGTTGCAGGGGATGTTAGGGTTTACCTGTTTTAGACACGGTTTAGGGTTTAGGGCTTAGATATCTTCATAACCGTTGTGGCCCTAAGGTCCCCAAATTCGGGGATCTACCAGGAGACTCCAAAACCCCTGAATTAAGGAATATACCTTAAAACTTACTAGGGTTCCTATTCGAGTTTAAGGTATATTCCTTAATTAAAGGATTTTGGAGTCTCTCGGTACTGTTGGATTGTTGTGGGCATGTGGGCCCCTGGGCCAGGACCACAGGCTGTGCCTCCTCTTCCTGCGGCGCTTGCAACAGATAACACTGGGCTACGGAGACGGTCGGGAGGTGGAGCTTGCGGCAGAGGCCATGAATGGGAATTAGGTTTTGTATGTGCCGTTATTGCGGCCAAAAACCCCTACCTTTTTAAGGAGTCATATTCATATATATATATATATATATAGAGAGAGAGAGAGAGAAAGCAGCCATCATAAGGAACCCTGAAGAGGTGTTTCTGTGTTTTTTGGCTGTATCTGTTCAGTTGGGGATGTAGGACGTAGGGCATTGGCATTTACATCAGGTCTGGGCTCAGATTTGCCTAAACCCTCGACCCTAACCTGAACCATAAGCCCTTGAAGCCCTGAAGCCTTTAAACCCAAGCCCTTTAAACCCTACGCGATTCACTGGGCTTCCGGTTTTCAAACCCCATCCCGAGTTGAAGGCAGCACTTTGAGGTTCGGCAGGTGGTAGTACGTACCTATTTCAATCATAGACTTAGATGTTGTCACACTACCGAATGCAGCTTGAACACGGTTTAGGCTTAAGGTTTAGGATCTGTGCGTGTTGTGTGTCTGGTGCAACGAACCATCACAGCCTTTTTCGAAACTGCCATTCTGGGAGCTTGTGCATCCTTTGGTTCATAATGCAGGCAGACGACAACGACTCCAGCTTGCGGAGCATCGTCCGGAAAAATGGGTCAGGCGGGACACGCGAAAGCATCAACCAAATAAGCGCTCATCCTCAACTGATTATCTCCAAGCTACATAGTGGCACACTAACAAGGGGTACTTATGAATATGGATCGTACTATCTGTATAACGTCTACAGGGGTGTACCCGGTTTGCCGAACAAACGAAAACCCAAATGCCCCTGAACCTTGCAACCTGAAATCGTACGCGAACCCTGAACCCTCAATCCCAATCCCTACAACCTCACACTCTCAACCCTAAACCCTAAACCCTACGAGCCCAAAGCCTCTAAGACTGGAGTCCCTTTCAGGGCAGAGCAGTCTCTGCTTCCTCTTGCACAAGGAGAGGGACGAAATGAGGGTCCCCTTTTTCGGTCGCGCCGAAACGGTACGGCACTTCCCGGACTTGCCAGGAATACTTGAGTTCAAGGGCTAGGGTTTTTTGAGGGATTCAATGCAAGGGATGAATATGTATGTTTGATGGCTTGCCTAGAAAGTAGGGATTTGTTGTCGAAGGGTCTGGGGGTGTTCTTGTTGCATGTGTTGTTAAATGGTGGATTCTTGCAATTGGGGCCCTTATGATTGTGTCCCAAAGGGTCCAAGTTAACGTATAGTATTATAGTATATACTTTTGGGGCCCAAATACCTACAAAGTAGCTACCATATTAATGCTTGGACCCTTTGGGGTTCTAACTACTCATGGTCTCGATGAGGATCGCTTGGTTTCTGACCTGTTGCGCCCAAACCATAACACCCTGGCCCTTCAGCAGCAAGACCCGACACCTGCAAAGCCCAGTAAAACCCTAAACCCCCAAACCCTAAGCCTAAAAAGCCCCGAAACCCTACAGTAAACCCCGAACCCAAAAAGCCCTTAAACACAAAACCCTAAACCCCAAACCCACTTCAATCCCACAAAAGCTCCTAAACCCCTAAATCCTAAACCCTAAACCCTTGACCTCAAACCCCTAAGCCCTAAACTCTCCTTCCAGGAGACTGTGGAAACTCCCGAAGACGCAGGATCGGTGGCCAGACAGGGCTGTCTTACGCTGGCTTTCCCGGTGCTGAACCAGGTGCGCTGGGTTTAGGGTTAGGCTCCAGGACGTCTAGGGTTTCAAGTGCACGGTTAAAAGCATTTTTAAAGCCCTACATTCTACACCCTACAATCCCTAAACCCTAGGGTTTAGGGTGTAGGGCTAGGGATTTGGGATTTAGGGTTTAGGGTCTACGGCCCTTGGGCTTGTGATGGGGGTCTGAATCTCCCCTAAGAGTGGGCAGAGCCAAGTGGAAGAAGGACGCTTCGAAGGAATCCTGTTTCCCCAAATCTCTAAACCCCGAACCCCAAACCTAGGGGCCTAAACAAAAATACCAATATTCTTATTGTGATATAGTATATATAAAGCCTAAAACCCTATTCTAATTATTAGTTAAGGCCCCTATCTTACCTAAACCCCTAAACCCCAAACCCTAAACTCCGAACTACTTTGATCCTTCAGAGGAGCTTTCCAGAGTTCCCGGGAACTACCCTAAACCCCAAACCCCAAACTCTAAACCCTACAGCCTAAAACCCACAGCCTAAACCCTAAAACCTAAACCCTAAACCGGAAACCCTAAATCCGAAAGCCTAAACCTTAAACCCTAAACCCTAAACCCTAAACCCTAAACCCTAAACCCTAAACCCTAAACCCTGCCCTAAACCCTAAACCCTAAACTCCGGAACTCTTTTCGGATTCCGCCAAGCTTTGCTTTGCTCAGGGGCCTGAGGAGGATCCTCCGCTCCAGGCAGGTGCGTTCTGCCGAGAGGAAACTACGGGGGTTTAGGTGTTAGGGCATAGGGTTTAGGGTTTAAGGGTTTAGGGTCTAGGGTTTAGGGTTTAGAGTTTAGGGTTTAGGGGTTTAGGGTTTAGGTGTTAGGGCATAGGGTTTAGGGGTTTAGGGTTTAGGGTCTGGGGTTTAGGGGTTTAGGGTTTAGGGTTTAGGGTCTAGCGGTTTAGGGTCTAGGGTTTAGGGGTTTGGGGTTTAGGGTTTAGGGTTTAGGGTCTAGCGTTTTAGGGTTTAGGGTCTAGGGTTTAGGGCATCGGGTTTAGGGGTTTAGGGGTTGGGTTTAGGGGTTTAGGGGTTTGGGGTTTAGGGATTAGGGTTTAGGGATTTAGGGGTTAGGGATTTAGGGTTTAGGGATTTAGGGGTTCGGGTTTAGGGTTTAGGGTCTAGCGGTTTAGGGGTTTAGGGGTTTGGGTTTAGGGTTCAGCAGATTGTTTTGGAAGTTTTTTCGCAGGGTTGGCTCATAGCAAATTTTAAACGGCGTTGTTTGTGTAGTGGTGTTCGTCGCATTGTTTAAACTATATTGTTGCTTTGCAAGAGGTATCTTTGAAGGTCTCTGCGCCGATAGATTCATATTAGGGTAGTTATCCTACTTAGTTAGGGTCCCTGTTCGGGTCCTTTTTTACAAGGGTGTCGTACCATATTAGGGACCTAAAGGGGGACCAACTTACCCTTTTTTTACAAGGGTGTCGTACTAAAGTGGGGACCTAAAGGGGGAACCAACTCTAGAGAACTACCCGTATATCAGCATCTGCTTTGGACTGGGAGCTTTCCTTTGCAGGCAATTTGGGGTCCACGTAATACAGAGCCCTTTATACGTAGTGTAGCGGTTCTGGGGGTATCTCTAAAACCCTAAACCCTAAACCCTAAAACCCTAGACCCGGTATCCTAAGAGGGTTTAGGGTTTTAATGGTTCCGGGCTGCGCTTGCCTTGATGATTGTCTTCTGAAGAAAGTGGCGGCTCTGCGAATAAGTGGTCTGAACACTTGGTCACAGGATCCCCTTTTTCGGTAGCGCAAAGAATGCCCTAAAACCCACTAAACCCTAAACCCCCAGTCATATCCCTTATAATAGAGGTGATGCATGGGCCTGAACAATTAGAACAGGGTTATAAAGGCCCTTACATTACCATTGAGACATCGCATGATGGACGCTAAATCAAAATTTTTTGAAGGTCGAGTAGACTGTATAGCCCTAAGGCTCAAAATAGCCCAAATGACTAACAAAGTATGGTGTTTGGGATCATTGTTGGAAACTTGTTTCTCAGACCGAGTCGGCCGCCACTTGCAGTCAGATATCAAGTCGTTCAGAGCTAAGCTGGACCCTAGCAGCTGGGGGAGTTTCGCAGATTGTGTAGCTGAGCTGTTGGAGATTGAGGCATCTCTTCGTTATGGCTGAAACTTGAACAGTTATGGCGATCAGTGTGCAAACGCGGCAAACCCCGAGGATGATGGTGGACATGGTGTGGACTTGGGGATTGTGAAATCAGCACTGACATCTCCAGATTTTTGGGCCACTTTGAGGATGATGAGATGCCTGGCTAATGTGATCAACTCTTGCCTGACTTGGGTAGAGACCTGCCCGTGCCACCATCATCTTGAGCGCAGAGAGTTCCCGAAGCTTGTAGTTGAGGCGTGGTCCACTTGCCCTTTGCGGGGTTGCAAGGCACCCGAGCTGGCAGCAGGAGAGCTTCGGACATTGCTGGGAGACTTGCACAACGTGAATGCTGCAGAGCTCCTGAGTACTCTCAAGAGACATCAGCCCAGAATCACGAGCTGCCATCCTCCAAGAGTTTGAGCGAGGGCGAGCTCACCTGGTCTTTGTCTTAAACCTGAGGCTGGCCCACTGGAGAGATGCTCCTTACTGTGTATTTGGTTGCGCCCACCTGTCGCCAGAGGTGCCCAAAAGATTCTTGAGGCGGTGCCTGGACATGTCTGTTGGTTTTCCTTTGCTCGCACGGTTGCCGCCAGTCAGAGATGAAGCAGAGCAGTATTTGGACGGGGCTGACATTAAGCAATTGCCAAACTTGTTGCACTTCTTGGGGACACTTCGGTACTGTCCCATCGCAGAGCGAGCAGTGGAAGGCGACCACGCGCAGACGGTGTGATAAGTCTAACAAAGAGCCTCAAAATCTGAGTCCTTAGATCCCTAAGCCCTAAACCCTAAACCCTAAACCTTATAAACCCTAAACCCTAAAACCCTAAACCCTAAACCCTAAAACCCTAAAAACCCTAAACCCTAAAACCCTAAAAACCCTAAACCTTATAAACCCTAAACCCTAAACCTTATAAACCCTAAACCCTAAAACCCTAAACTTAGGGTCGGGGTTCATGTCAGAAGAGCGCTGTATTGTAAGCCAGAAGCCTGCAGTGACCCGTTGAGAAGACCCAGAACCCGTTAGGGTTCAAAAGGCTTAGGGTTTATACAAAGTTTAGGGTCTAGGGTTTATAGGGTTTAGGGTTTAGGGCTTAGGGTGTATAGGGTTTCGGGTTTAGGGCTTATAGGGTTTACGGGGTTTATAGGGCTTATGGGGTTTAGGGTTTATAGGGTTTAGGGTGAAAAAGGATTACGTAGGGTTTAAATAAAGTTTAGGGATTAG